CATGGATGACAGGCTTCTGCTTGCCTCTTCCTGTGCCCAGTCAGTCACTCACACCCACTTCCTTCTTTAAGAAGCTTCTCAGGTGGGTTTCTTTCCTGGTTCGAGAAGTCATTTACTACTCCCTCACAGTATCTTATTCATTTGGGGGTTCTCTTCATTTCCTTTTTTGGTTGAGCCCAGCCTTCTCCACTTTTGCTCCAGGATATCAAGCGAACAGTCATGTTTGCCATCCCTTTTCCTTCTCTCTATGTCCATGAGGTTCTCTCTCTCTTTTGGGATATGGTCTTCCTTGCATTCCCTTCATTGGATGCTTCTCGGCCAGTGGAACTTCTCTCACGATCCCTTGGACCGTCCCATTTTCCTTGATTCCCCCTGTGTTTTTGGGTTGGTGGTCAGTTGAGGAGGCTATTTTCCATATCTACATTCTGATAGCTTGACAGTTCATTGGGCTCTGTATACTTTCCTCCCTTTCCTGCAGGGGAGAATGGTTTTGGTTCTTTCTGCAATTCCACTATCATCAAATTTATCATCTAGAAAGGGGGAACCATGTAACAATCTCTTTCTGGTCATATTCTGGATTTTGTGGAGCATGGGAGTCCTTGCCATTTTCAGTTCTCAGTTGCTGGAGTTGTGGACCGTGGAGGTTTCCTCGTGAGTGGGTTTTATACAATAACACAATCTCATAGCCATATGTACTCACTCGATGAAAAGAGAGCTGTTGTCATTATGCTGCATATTATACACACAGTATGGCATGAAATCTATTATGCAAGGCACCTCCACTGGATTTTTTCTGCCCAGATGGACCACACTTGACATAATCCAATGTTTACCAAGGGGCTTCTCCTAGATGTTTTTGCCTGGGTGGTCCTCACTTTGCTATCTTGATATCAACCTAAGGTGCTTCCCCTGGATGTTTTTGGCCGGGCGGATCGCACTTGTTGAGTTTACAAACTTATGCAAGGCGCGTCCATGTTGTTTTTGTCCTTGGACCACACTTGGCATAATACATCATATCCTAAGATGCTTCCCGTGGATGTCTTCTGCCAGATCAGACCACATTTGGTCTATTCATATACGGTCTTCTAGCCCTCGCCATGTATCCTCTTTGTTTCTGCCCTCCATTTCTTATATTCTTTACTGAAATACCTGTTCCAGAAGTAGTGCTATACCCCACACGTGTGCTTTGTATTTTAATTGTGGCACACCTGTTTTTTTTCATAGCAGTCACTCTCCACTTTATTATTTGTTTTTGCACCTTCACCGGCCCCTTCACCTTTCCAATGTGGGATTCTAGCTATGGGGGAGTGGAGGTTGTACCGTTTCAGAAGTTAACATTTTCTAACACTGAAAATGTTAAAATCATAAATAATATTCAACGTTAAACTGTGTACCAGTTTAACATTGAATATTATTTGTGATTTTAACTTTATACACAAGTGTCAAAATACTATAATTACTGAAAATGTATTTCCAATAAGTACTTACCTCCGCTCACCCACTTCCCAACCTTCCTCCCCACTGATTTGCCGGTGTTTTGAGGTTTGTATATGCGAATCGAAAGTGAGGTTTGTGCTGCAAGGGTAGAGGGAGCTACCTGCGCTAGTATAGATGACACAGTGGGATTGGTGGAAGGTGGTCACATGATCAGCACATTGCTGCAATGGTGCAAAAAAAATTGGGATATAAAAGACTGGTGTGCTTTTAAGAAGTTTGCAATGCGTAGCGGGCAAATGAAGGTTGAGCTAGCCATTGGTGTAAGAAGGTAAGTACCTATCAGAAATACATTTTCAGTGTTAGAAAATGCTAACTTTTATGACATTAATCAATTCAATCATTATTTGGATTGTTTTACACTACAGTAATCAATATAACAGATGCTTATAGATAATCAACTTAATTGTTCAACTGAACAGATTTCTCTCTTTTTTTTCATACAAATATATATATATATGTATTGTTATGATTATCAGATTATATGACCAGATAAGCCTAATTACTAGAAAGTTAAGGGAAACTAAAAAGATATTATTAAAGTAGAAAGTACAAGGAAAATATGTGACATCATCTCTTTAAAAATACAGAAATGAGAATATAATTTCCACAATAATTTCTATATTATGTAAGAATATAATGTAGCATCTATTAAATGATGAAAATTATGTTGAACCGTCAAGGGGTCAAACTTTAGTTGAAAAGAAGTTTGTAAGACTAACAAATCCATATAAGTATGATGTTTTCATTGTTTTATTATATACCATTGATGTAAGGAACAAAATCTGCTTGTTCTTCTTAAAAACCTACCTACCCCATTCCACAAAACACAAAGAAAAAATAATATCAATTGTAGAATTTTATTTATATATTATACATGAAAAGTGGCTTTCACAAAAAATGTTATGAAATGAAATATAGTCTCTTGAATAATAAAAACCATTACAAATTATGATATGAAAATCTAACAGAAAATCAAATTTTAGTATTCAATTCAAATTTGACAAGGTCTGTTTTACTTTGGGACAAAATACTTTATATTTATAGGCCTTTTTTGTTGTCAAAATTGTGTACATCCACTAATACAATGCTATTGAGAAGCTCAATTTTATTGGGAATAGTGTATACCATATCTTGTATTTAAGGTCTTTGTATATGTTCATTCATATTTTCTTTTGTTTTTAACATTTGGTCATCAAGATCTTACAGCATGTGGGTAATGCTCCAAACACAGAAACTGATAAAGGATATACAATTTACATTAATGCTGTCATGAAATAAGAAGTTTAATATATATATATAAATAACATAAAACTTACAAAAAGCTTTAAACTGATATTCTTTCTAGAGCTGGCAGCTAAACCTTATTGTGCTCCTACTGTAGACAAAAGCAATATAATAATACTGTTAGATTAACTTGGTATGCTTGTTACTCTGTGTGACTGAAGGTTTGTGACTTAAAAGGGTATATATTGTAATGATATAAGAGACTGTTTAGTGTAGATATTATTAATTAATTATTTTATGAGTTAATATTTCATGATTGTTTAGTTTTTTTATAATAAGAGAGTTAAAAGCAGATGATTATTGGAAGTTGTATTTATAATTCATTGAGGTTGAGGATATTGAACATCACATGAAATTTATTGATGTGCAGGATATAGAGATTTCTAGAAGGCGAGCAGACGATAAAGTGATAAATACATAAATAATGTGAACACAACTTCCAGTAATTGTCTGCTTTTAACTCTCGTTTTAAAAAAACTAAACAATCATAAAGTATTAACTCACAAAATAATTAATTAATAATACCCACACTAAACAGCTTTGAATATCATGACATATATGTACTTTTAGTTTTAGGCTTTTTTAAATGTTTGTGTGTTTGTACTAGACCTCCACAGTTTAAACTTCTCAGGAAACTTGCGTCTCCCTATAAATATAACTGGAGTGTTTTTCTAACAAATGAACAAATGGTGTGTGTGTGTGTGTTAGCAGTTACTTAATTAAATAGAGAATAATCTACTGCATTAGAAGATTCTTATTATTAAATTTGTTACTTGATAACAAATAGTTTGAAAAAGTTGTGTGGAAAGAAAAATAAAAGCCACGCTTCAAAATCATTTTGACTTTTTTTAACCATACTGGAGTCAGGAGGTTACGAAACAAAAATTGCTTGCATTTTGGGAAATATTTATAAATGTTTTAGTTGATTTTGGATCACATATACATATACAATTTTTATAGTGTGAATACCATTTTTTCAAGCTGGTGAATCATGGATTGAGCAAAACCTGTCAATGGTAATGGATATGGTGAACATAGTATGATTGGAGTACTATTATTACACACACCACTAATTATTGAAAATCCCTAAGGTATTAAATAAAAAATTCAGTGTTAAAAATATAGTAGGCCTAATACTAATGTCTTATGATCAAATATAATTAATACAGTACATATGAAGCAGAGTGCACAAGTAATTCCATATAATAATTACTTCAGGATGACAACAAAGCAGTACATTTTGACACTTATATTTAGAAGGAAACATTTGTTAACACTAATCTGTAAGTGAAATTACATGTATATGAATATAAGACTGGTAAAATACTATATATATTGTAGTTATGAAACTATAATGAAAGTATTGATGTGAACTGTATTTTTCATGTTGTAATTTAGATAACCAAAGAGAGACTTAGATCATAATGATGAAGTTACATTAGGTCTAGAAAGTTCTAAAGATTTAACTTCAAGTTTTACTACATTCAGGGACAGACTGTACGTGTGATGACAGCAAAATATCAAAAAGTTAGAGATAGTTAAGGAGATAGTAGAGTGAATTAGTCAGTGTGTTTTTGTTTCAACCAGAGGTTGTTTTTAGTTAGGAAATATAAGTAGGTTTTTTTTCACTTTAGTGTAGTGCATTTAACATCATAAGTAATTAACGCCTAGAATAAGTTACAACAATATACAAGTAAAGACAGGCTTGTAGAAATGTCAAAGAAGAAATATATTAAGTTGTTATCTATTATGTGGGCTGGACTTTGTATTATTTTCATCAGGTAATTTAAATGATCCTACTAGTGAAAGAACAATGTTACAACAGTATTAATGAGAGATGACATTAAAAAGGTTAAATTTTTAAAATCCTTGTTTTGGTTTCATGATATATAAGGTTAATAAGAAACGTTCATATCTAAGACCCATTGAAATGAGATACTGCACAAATGAGTATATGTTTGTATAGCATAAGTTAGGCCTTTTGTATTCCATGATGCATTGTCCCATTTATTGGCTCATCTTTATTAAACTATTCAAATTCTTTTAAGATAAATTTATACATAGGCTTGTATTAACAGTTTAGTTGGCAGAGGAAAAATATTTCTTAAAAAGATTCCCTAATGATAAACAGCTCTTGACAATGTTAAGGACGATTTATGGAATTTTTGTAATTAGTGTTTTTGTTGTTTAAATATCTTTACTTAGTATATCCTTAATAGGAAAAGACTGCACTTTTGAAAAGATGGAAAATGTGAGAGAACAACAAGAAAGATTGGCAAGATTACATTTCGACCTCAATGCTCAACAGGAAATGCAAGGGTGCGAAGATGTTTACATATATCACAAGTAGTTATTAACATGACGTAACGTTTAGGAACAACAAGGAACTTATTGGTCCATCTAGGCTGTCCCATCCTCTAAACTAAACCAACACTATTAAATAATAAAAAATAACCCTCAAACCAGCCCTTATCATTCATATAGTTGTCCAAGCTTTCTTTGAAACTCAGTTAAATTTACTGCTTCCACAACATCCAAAGGCAAGCCATTCCAAAGGTTAACCACTCTGTTAGAAAAAATAAAACTATTTTAGCTGAAGATGACTTACCCTGCCAAATTTATATTTGTGTCCTCTAATCCTGCCATTCTCATCATTAAGTATGAAAAAAGATGATGCATCAACACTATCAATTCCCTTAACAATCTTTAACACCTCAATCAGATCCCTTCTAATTCTTCTTTTTTCAAGAAAAGACAATTTCAGAGATCTTAACCTCTCCTCGTACGACAACCCTGCCATCTCGGGCACCATTCTAGTAGCCCTCCTCTGAATCCTTTACAGCAATTCAATGTCCTTCCTAAGATAAGGAGCCCAAGACTAAACCCATTACTACAAATGTGGCCTAATCGATTATCTTTACAATCTTTAGACCTGTATTCAATATTTCTGTAGATACAACCTAAAATCCTATTTACCCTACCACTAGTAACAGCACACTGCTTGGATGGCTTAAGAGATTGATCAACCACTACACCAAGATCCCTTTCTTTCAAAACACTCTTAAGGTTATTCCCTTCTTTATATATATATAAAGCACAAAAGATGTATGTGTGTGTGTGTCTGTTTGCCCGTTAACTAACTACAACTATATCGCTGGGCCACTATCAATCAAACACTGTGGGATAATAGTTTGGAATAATGGGCATGTTAATGGGAGATTCACAATTCCATTCACCCCCATTATTGAGCATTTATTATGTTTGATGTAAGTTAACATTAATTACCTTCATAGATGATGCCACATCCTAACACTAGAAACAGTTTGGGTGTGTGTGTGTGGTGGGGGGGGGCATCTTATATATCTCAGAGAGTGCACTATGGAGGAATGGCCACCACCACTACTAGAATACTACGTAAACTCACCTGAAGTTTTATTCCAACAACCACCATAAGGCTGATATGAAGAACCATTTCTTGAGTTATACCCACTTCCTACTTTGACCCATGACCTTTCAACCTCGACCCATAAGACACTTCTGTGGCCAATGACCGTAAATTAATTAATCTGGTGAAACTCTGTAGAAGGACATTAAGAGGTGGGTGTTGAAAGTGGGTTACACAAAGCACCCCCTATCAACACTACTTTGACTGCCACCTCCTCCTATTAAGTCACCCTGACGATTGCACAGTGTATACCATGTTTTAAGTATGTGTGTATTTTTGTATATAGTGAGTTCTTAAAGCTTGTACAAAACTTTTGGTGAAGTAATAATGAATACTGTAATAATATGTTGTGTTATAAGTAACTTGTGTGAAAGTTAGGATTTTTGTGTTATTTATCATTGCATCTATCCCCACATTTTTGTAAGCTCATAACACAGAAAGAGGATGGATACCTAAGCTTGTTATGTTTATAATTCAAATTATGATACTCCACATGCATTTATTATAATTAAACCCACGTGCCATTTATTTGTTCAACTCAATAAATGTTCTAAATCCTTTTGTAAAGCAGCAACATTCTCCTTACAGCTAGCAACACCCAAAACCTTAATATCATCAGTAAATTTAAGTAGCGTCTTGACTATTCCTTCATCTATGTCATTGATCTTAATCAAAAAGAGCAAAGGTCCTAAGACTGATTCACTTGTGACAATAATCCAGTTTGACTGAATTCCATTTATAACAACCCCTCTGCTTTCTTCTATCCAGGCACTCTTCTGTCCAATTAGCTAACTTATTCCAATTCTTGAACAAAAATGTTCCTACATTTATATTTTGATATGATATTACAGATGAAAGTTATTGTTTTTTTGTTTGTTATTATTCATAAATTAGAAATATCTTATCTAGTTTTCTTAATGAAAAATGCTTGTTCAAATAATAAAGAAACATAGGATATTTATATGAAATATCTGTTATTTAGTTAGTTTTGTTAATACAATGAATAATGGTTATTCAAGTAAGGAAGAACCATACAGTTTTTATGTGAAATGTCTAATATTTACTTAGTTTTATTAATTAGTAATGCTGGTGCAAATAAGGAATAAACATACATAATATATATATGAAATATCTAATATTTACATAGTTTTGTTAATCAATGAATAATACTTAATTCAAAATGCAATAACAGCAACTTTTACAGTAGGAAAATTCTGATTTTAATAATACAGGCCTGTGAATTTAAACATCATAAAAGTTTTTTTGGTTTTAATAATGGATTTTCCATAATTCAGCTACGCAGATTTTGGAAATAATATTTATTTTTTCTGACACGTAAGGATTTTTTACAAATTGGGAAGAAAAAAACTTACCACTATTATTATTATGGTTGTGACAAAAATACAAACAAACTGAAGAAAAGGGAAGAACATTGACGTCAGACAAATATGTGTCCTCATTCATTCTTATTTTTTTGTGTGTGAAATCTACATCTTTTAGTCTCAAAAATACGTGTTCTGGTCTTTCTTTTATGTATTGCATTATGACGTTTTTGTGAAAAAACTGTACATGATGGAGAAAAATAGATATCATTTTTGGATTCAGCATACAGGAATTACTGTAAAACGTTTAAAAATTTTAAGACAATAAAACCATTGTAGGCCTGTGTGATTACAATGTTTCAACACAGTATCAAATCATCAAAACTTGATACTAAGAGGTCAAAACACTGTAATTAGTATAGTCAGAACTTGTCTACTGTAAAAATGACTGTTATTGTATTTTTTAGTTGTTTATCCAGTTCAGTAGGTTTTTTACTAAACATTAATATATAATACTTATTTTTATTAATACATAATGCTTGTTCAAGTAATAAACATCAAATGTATGTGTGTGAAAAGAATACATGAACTAGTTTGTTTGTATTCTTCTTTTAATGTCATGTTTTGTGGTGAATATGTCCACATAATTGTTTTAATTTATTTTTATTTTTGTCTGAAAATCGAGATATTTAAATTAGTTTCCTATCCTTTATTTAGATATCGTGAAATTGGTTTTCATAACTCATTGTAGTAGAAATGAATGCTGTTAAGTGTCAATTCACTTTGTTACAGTTAATTTGATTAAAATATAACATTATGTTGTTTTTCGTTGAGTGTGTTTCTTGTCAAATATTTAGGCCGAAATCTGATGAAGGAAGAAGAATGGCAAAAGAAAATTTAGATAAATTAACAAGTAATGTAAGTATGTTTTAGGGTTAAATATTTAAAGTTTTATGGTTGTTCATTAAAATTTGTACTTTATTTTTACAATGTACATTTTCAGTATTAAGATAACATTGTATGTATAAACAGTAGATAAAACTTATTGTAAATTTATTTGTCAAGAGAATAAATCATGCAAAACACTACCAAGTTTCGAAATATATGTAAGATTATCTGAAAACTGTTTATGAATAACATAGTTTAATCCCCTGAAGTGTCCACAGAAAAAATATTTTTTTCATTTTGTTGGTTTTAATACCCAGTCTGTGAGTCATGTGTGTAGTGGGTTGATTCGCAAGCAAAGCTTTCAAGTATTTTTTTTGTAACTCTGAATAGCGATTTCACATTTTTGCAACATCTGGATACTGAATTGTCAGCCAATGTGACCAAATTCACACTAGTTTTCAGGCTACTAGGGAGTAAAACTCGCACTACCAAAATGGCACACAACACATAGTTGTAGCTACACATGTGCAATTTGAGATCTGGTTCCTCAGCTCAGCCAACCACCTGAACTACACATCTTCATGGTCAAACACTATTGAGAAGTGAGTTCTTTTGTCAGTAAAATGTGATTATTTATGGTTGACAAGTAGTGGTATTTATCAGAGTAATTTTTTTGGTTTCTAACTTGAATACCAGAAGCTGTGACACCTCTGTAACCCAACCTATGTTCCAAATTTGGTCTCATTGACTCGTAGACTGTGTGTTAAAATGTAAGGGTTGAAAAACACTCAGTTGGGTTTGAATTGTTGCAGAGTTTACACTAGGCATAGATTCTGAAAAGCATTCAGTTGGGTGTGAAATGTATGAACTCTGGAAAAGCTTTCAATTTGTTGTGAACTATTGAAAATGTTGAAAAGCATTAAGATGGGTGTGAAGTGATGAAAAATATTAAATTTGTTGTGAACTATTGAAAAGACTGTGTGAAGTATTGTATAGGTTTCATTTGGATGTTGAAAATCACTTACTGGGTGAGAAGTGTTAATAGTTATGGAATTATTCTGTCTAATTAAAAATGCTTTGTTTCAGAATCTAGCAAGTCTTGGCTTACTTATCAAGTTGTATATAAAACACATTGTAAATTCAGTCAATAAATTAATTTTACTTCTGATGTGACGATATTCAATGGATTATAGTGTTAAGGTGAATTTTATATTATAATTGTAATTAACTTGGTTCTTTTATATTTCCTCTAATCTGCAGCTTCAAAGACTAAGTCAATCAATGTATCCTTTGGATGGTATATGTATACCATTTGTATTTCTTTACTGACATAATAAAGTAGATACTTGTAATGTAAAGAACACTAGACAAGAGAATGTTACATCTATATTATAATTTGGTAAATAGAGATAATTTGTTGCAGTTCTAGAAAAATGATAGAATTTTTCATAATTCTGGTGTTAAAAAGAACTAACAACAAAACTGTGTGATCGTTGAGTCTCCTCTAACTTGTTTATTGCCTCATCATTTAAAATGACTAACAGTTACTTTTTACTTTTCACCATATTGGGTCCAGCAGATTCTGACAGAATTTTGTTTCATATTTTGATTAAAAGCTCTTGATGGGTTTCTACTTTTTACAACATTGCTGGTGTTCTGAGTAGTTGTTTTTAGATCTTATATAGTTGCTATCTTATATGATCTATCAGTTCAAATAGGAAGTATAGTTCTTATTCTTATCTTTATTTATTTTTGTATTTAAACCAAGGGACTTTTCTGAGTATTAGAAATTAAGAGGCATAGCTTTTACTTGAATACTGATAATGTATGTTATTTATATACATGTAAGTAAGAATATCTTTTTTAGTGTCAAGAAATTGGAAGTTAATAAAGAGGAGAAGATATTTTAATACTTTTAAGTTAGGCATATGTATTTAAACTACACATTATTGCCTAAATGTTAATTTAAAATATATATATATAGTACTGTTATTGTTCACAAACTTATTCTTTTATAAATCAAAAGGTTATTAAATGTAAAGTGCACGAGTTCTTATGATGGAAGTTTGTGTCCTTAAATCAGTAATTGCCAGCGAACAACTTCAGTCAACAAGCCACTGTTTGCACACAGATGTGTAAACGCTCTTCGTTACCACTTGGTCAAGGTTAGGACTCGTTGATGTTTGATGCTGAGTTTTTCTACGAGGGATCATGTACCAGAATAACAGCGATATAGGTCTTCACTCAATTTCTTGTATCAATTATTCTGAGAATAATATAATAAGAACTAAGTCAGAATATACATGAAAGGTTTATGAACAATACTGCATTGTAATAAGCTATTATGTGGAGTGTTACTAATATGTCGCAGAAAGAGGTATGTCCATCACATGGTCTGTGTTATTTTTACAAAAATCATCTGTTAAATGTAGTTATAACTCTACTTAATTTTTATTATTTCTGCAATCAGGTTCAAGAGCATTGTAATACAGTTAGTGTTGTTTGATTACCATCAGTATGTAAGCTTTTATTGTTTTTACCTGTGTATTGTTTCGAGTTTAAACAGTACATAAGCATTGCTATGATATAAAAAAAAAAGTAAAAATATCCTCGATGTTTCTTCCTAACAGCTGATTAAATATTCTTAGTGACTAAAAACAACAAAATTAGGAACATTCTTTTTACTTATTTCAAACTGCAGTTTTCTTGTTGGACAAGAATGGAAAATGAAAACTAAGATTATTAATTACTGGAAAATATGTGGAGGGATCTGTATTCTATTAAAAGGATGAATAAATATATTATAAACTTAATTATTGACTTGCGAGTTTTACTGATTTTAATGAAAAGTAATAACATTTCAGAATATTTGATTTTATTTGTAGTCTGAATTGAGATACAACTTAGATCACAAAAATATTTTTATCAGCTTAAACGAGTTTATGAGAAATTTATAAATATAAACCAAATCATTGTCTTGTTAGGAAATCTTTCTTTAGATTATTTGTGTGTTTGGAAAGAAAGAATTCATAAGAAAAGACAAAAGTCAGGAAGCATTTCTCTTCTGTATCATCATTTACTTTTATTCTTAGCCCTCTTAAAATGGTGTATACAATAAACAACAACAACAAAAAAATTAAGTTTTAATACACGTACACACATATTAAATATTTAATAATGAATTTAAATTGTTGGTACTGATTTATTATATATATATTACACAAGCTGGTAGTTACTTTTCTATTACAGGATAAGAAGAATTAGTAACCGGTTTTATGAAGTATGCATGATACTGATATATCTCATCAAATATAAAAAATATATTTGACCTGAATCAAACCTTTCAATACAAACATGAAGATATTAAAGAAAAAATCTATATAAATTACCAAAATGTTCAACAGATGAGCCCAAAGTGGTGCCCTCCCCCTTTAAAACGCTTCTTCAAATGATCCAGACTATCTGGAGTAGTGAGAAATATTTATATGATGTAAGTAATTAAATATTAGTCCCCAGTTAGTCAGTGGTAAATTTACGGATTTTCAATGCCAAATTTTAGGGGTTCAATTTCCTGTGGTGAACAGAGTGCAGATATCTCATTGTGGAACTTTGAGTTAGAAAACAAACCAAGAAAATGTAAGCTGGGAAAATAAACAAGGTTTCTATAAGGAAAGAAAGATGAAAAAAAAAAAAACTTATATGGCTCGTGTTTTGAAAGAGCTGAATGTTTCCCAAATTTCAAATATAACAAAAGTCAGTTCTTCATTTCAATGGATGTAAATATGCTTTACTATACATTTTGTACAACATATTAAAATATTATCGAAGTTAGGTTGTAAAATAACATAAGTTTATTTATCGATGTTATAAAGTACTGTTACGTCTCCGTTTGTTAATTGATTTTCCGTAACTTCGTTCCGACGAAAATTTAGCGACACAAGTCCTTACTTAATAAAACTGGTTTATTCTTTCTGAATATAACTTTACCGATACACTTATTTTCAACATTCGCGCTAAAACAAACGCTATAACAAACGTTAACTTCAACAATACTTTCTCACTGCAGATCAATTACTCACTGTCTACACACACACACATTGTCATCACGTTGTCACCCTCTTATATATATATACCAGACTACCCTATATCTAGTAATCTCCCGACTATTCCCGAAGGTTCGAGAGGTGGCGTGACACTAGTCACGTGACCTCGCTGACGCAACAATACGGTAAAATGTAGCCCTAACTAAACTAAAAAAAAAAAAGAAAAGAAAAACGATCACAGGTTTCAATGTTATCTCTTTATCGAATATAAACCGTACTTAATAAAGGCTTAACTAATGTTAGGCTTAAGTCAAGTGGACTTGTATATTTCGGTGTCTGCGATTAGAATTATTTTGTATTATTCTAGAAATCCTAAATTTAAAAAAGTACCGTTGCAATAAAGATACTAATTTCATCGCAAATGTTTTGGGGGCCTCTGCTACTTATTATTTAAGTTTACAAATAGATATACATCATATTTACTTGACTAGACTCGCAAGAGTTTTGGGTACTTTATATATGTCTACTCAAGATTATTTGGATACTTAACTGAAAATGTAGTACAATTAACAGATATCTAAGTGTTTAATGTACATGTGTAAATATAAATACTGAAGAAATACTTGAATATTTTTAGTTTTAAAATAATGATTTCGATTATACATTTCATTATTAGCTGACTATGATAACTTAATGTTTCACATATACAAAAATTGATTACTGTTACGTCTCCGTTCGTTCGTTAATTTTCCGTAAAAATTATTTCCGAAGAAACTTTACCGATAGAAGTCCTTTCTTAAATAAAATTGATTTAGTCTTTCTGAATATAACTTTGCGATACACTTAATTTCAAC